TCTAACATTCTGTGATTCTGTGAAATATAGGCATAAAAAATATTTAGAAATAATAAGTAGCAGTCAATGCTACCTTATGTGCGCTTTAAAAAAACCCTGTGAAAGGCAGTTCCAGCTTGCTCCCCTCTCCCCCCCTTCCCCCACATCTTGTGTTACCTAGTACCTCTTTAATTGGATAAAATATCTTAAAATAACCCATTTCATAGGGTACATTCATTAGTGTACAGGAAGAAGAGCTCTGTTGCCTTATTTTATTTAGTTTTAATAATTAATGGTAAAACCCCACCAAAGAAAAGTTAACCAACATAGGAAACAAAATTTATTCCCCTTAAGTCTCTGCAGTGCCAAATTAGCATTGCACATTTTTTAAAGTGCTTCTTTTGACTGTTACTATAATAATGTTTAAACAGCATTGTTTACTTCATATTAAGGAAGCTTTACATCATCTTTTGAAGATGACAATTAAAATAGTGAGGTGGTGTGTAGAAGTCTCACCTCTAGCCACTTCTATTTAAATCTTTATTAGGTCACAAGTTAGCCAAGGTTAAAGGCTTTTAAACCTTCCTCACTAATGGACATTCACCTGTGTAACCACAAATCTATCCAAGGCACAAAGCCCACAGGAACAGAACCATCTATCTACTCATGTTCTCTTAGACATTGAGCAACATTTACAGCAGCAACTGAATTTCTAACCAAGGAGAGTCACATTATTTTCATGGAAGGGAGTTTATCATCATGTTGTCACCCGTGCCTTCTTCACACAGCCCTTATAATCCTGCAAGTAAGCATCGCAGCTTCCTCCTGCTAGTTACTAAGCTCCTTGTCCTGCCCTGTCCTGTTCCCAGGACTGCGGGGGCTCACAAACATCAAGCAAGGGCTAAGGTGATGCTGGGTGTGCAAGCTGTTAAGCAGAAATTACAGCTCTTTGCTCAGAAGCTGACAGCTGAACAGGTGGCAGCTCTGCAGCCAGCATTAACGTGCACTGAAAACTGTCTGTTTGCATGGATGCCTTGCTGTAGCTAAAAGCAACTCCGTTTGTAAGCATCAAATTCTCCCACAATTAAAAAAAAAAAAAAAAGGCGCCTGCTTCTAAAGGAAGGTCACGCAACCACCTTAGAAAATGTGAGTATTTACACTAAAGGGAGACTGCCATCCCCAAAGCCTCCCACATCCACACTGAAACGTTAGAGGCAGCAGTGGCGGTCTAGTTTTCCCCACCACAGGTTATGATCTATTTTCATTATGCTCAACTCTCCAAGTCTTCCCCATTACACAGGTGTCATCCAAGAGTAATAAATGTGCATTCTTCCCTCCTCCTTACTGAAAGTGACAGACATTGTGATCACACTGCTGAAAAACTGAATGTATAAATAAACACCATGTAAAAACATATGGCAGCACAGAATACTGTCAATATCTCTACACATACAGAATAGGGTTACTTAGTTTTAAAGAAGGTAGAAGTTGCACTTATACATATTTCTGGTTCAAAAAGCCTATTAAAACTACTGCACTCTTTTCCAAGCTGTTGAGATTGTACTTCTGGAGGATTTTTATAAGCCTCCCAAGCAGACATATTTTATTTCTAAGTACTCATCAATGCCATATTTTGAACCTTCTCGCCCTAAGCCAGACTGTTTTACCCCACCAAAAGGACTCTCCACTGAGGAGACTATGCCTTCATTAACACCAACCATTCCAACTTCCAGCTGTTCTGCAACTCTCCAGATCTGAGCTGGATCTTGGGAGTAGAAATATCCTGCAGTGCAGACAGAGATACAGGAATGAAAATTAAAATCAGGAAGAACAACTGCATAAGACTGTGAAAAAGAGACTTACTGATACGACTGCCATTCCATTGAAAATCATCACCCCATAACACTAAAGCTCTTAAAAGCACAGAAATACATTTATCTGACAGAGAGGCATACCTGCTAAACCCACATTACTTGCATTTGCTATAGCAATGGCTTCTGCTTCAGTCTTAAATCTGTCAATATAAAGAGAAAAATCCAAATGAGGCCTGCAGTTCATCTACCATCTTGCTGACTTACTCACAAGAAGCAGCCTTAACAAATAAAAAAGTCAAGATGCTTTTTTTTTTTTTTCCAAAAGTGTATTTTAGAAATACAGAAATATCTTTTGGCAAACTGTCACTCAGATCTTATTTATTCAAAATTATCTTTCATTGTTTTTTTAATTGCTATTTTTAACCTGGAAAATGAATAATCTTACTTGATAACTGGTGCTAAAGGGCCAAATGTCTCCTCTTGGGTGCAAAGCATTTTTGTTGTAACATTACTAAGTAATGTTGGCTCAAAGAAATTCTTCCCCAAGCTGTGTCGTTTCCCTCCAGTCACAATAGATGCTCCTTGCGAAACTGCATCATTAATGTGTCTCTCTACCTGAGGTATGTAAAACAAAAATCTCAAAGTCAGCATTTAGGAATGTGCGATAGTATACTTTCCACTAAAGATAATACTCTCCAGTATTAAATACAAGATTTTGAAGAGAGGTTTACACTTTGTAGAAGACCATTTGCGATGTTAGTTAAAATTTCTCTTGAATTTTTATTTCTCCCAGTCTGACGTAACTTCAAAGGGATAAATTACAGCTATGGCCCCACTCTCACAGATATTAAAGATTTGGCTTTTCTGTTGAAACGAGAGGATGACATCTAACAGGAGAAAGTCTTTGTAGGACTAATAAGTACAGCTGCTACCTGTGATCAAGCACTATGAAAACAGAAGTACATGACTGTCATTTAAAGAGAAACAGACAACTTTCAAGATGGTACTGGCAAGAACATTTTCCACCCCCTCCATCTACAATTCATCCAAAGACAAGTAAGTAATGCAAAAACTAAAGTAGCAGTCTCCGCCTAGAATATTGTCCTGTGCAATGACAGAAAGGCAATTAAGTGGACAGTGCTCGCTTCGTGGTGTATATAGATGTGTATTATACACACACACTCTATACTTTTGCAATGCACAAAGGGAAGGCATGAAAGAAAGAAATCAAAGTACTGTATCCTTTGTCTCCCAAATAACTGAGTATTTTCATATTCTGTTATTTTATAAACAGAAGGAATCTGGCAGCATTCAAGTATAATGGGATTCAAACCAAGCCTGCATATAGCTGAGCCACAGTATCTTAGAAAGAATGAACCACATAATTTAATAATCTTTAACGTTAGGAAGGGTGAAATATTATAGAAAATGTGCCTTACTGCAATTAAAAAATAAATTTCCTGAAGTCATGAGTAATCCAAAACAGAAGACCCAAACCATGCATGTAAGTAAGGTTGCAAGTTATCAGAACATCGTTACTTTATGGATCACAGAGAGGAAATTAAGATGTTTAAAATGAAATCTGTTATTTATACCTTCTCCACTGCCTTTTCATTAATTAGCGGCCCTTGGGTTGTTTTTGCATCAAATCCACTTCCGACGTGTAGTTCTCTCTCTATAGCTTTAGCAAACTTTTCCACAAATTTGTCATGGATTCCCTTTTGCACCAGAAAACGGTTTGTGCAAACACAAGTCTGAAAACAAACATGAAAAGAAAAAACAAACAGTAGTTTATATTGTATTTAATCCACCCATTAATTCATTCTGGCCCTCATGCACAGTACCAGGTTACTACAGTGATCAATCTGTCTCTTCTCCATCATCCTAAGCTGTTACCTAGCTTTGCCACTTCTTTCATCGCCCTTCTCACTTTACAAATACAATTTCAACAAGCTCTCAGTATGTGTGTGAAATATACCACACTGTTAAATTTAAGTTGCTTACACTGAGATAAGGTTTTGTGAGTTTTATGGACTCTCATATACAGATCAACCAAGGTACAGAAGCTGCAAGAAACACCTTCTAATTACAGAATGCTGGACTGAGCAGCAGAACTTCATATTTGGTGGTGTGGGGTCTTTTCTTCTAACTCCTTCATTAATTGAGTTTGCTTTCTTCCTGGAATTTGTTCGTAAGTGCTTTCAGTGGCCTACGTATTTGTGCTACCCCTTTGCTCTGACTGCATCCTAGTTTGATTGCTACAGTCTCTCAAAAGTAACACCTGCTTTATCCTTTTATGCAGCAGCAGGTGTTAGATCTTGTGTGGTCTGTGTCTGATCACTCAGTGGTCCTTGTCCACATTCCAGTCTATTTTGGTTCCGTTTTTTCTTCCCAAGACTAGTCTTATGTTTTGTTGAGCTATTCAAGCAACATTTTTTCCCAACTAAATTAACTCCCAATCCCACAGAAAACTTGCTGCTTTTCTAAAGTTGGAGTTCATCACCTTCGTGTTCACATGTAGAGGTAATACGCGTAAGGCTCAAACAGTCTCCACACAGCCCAGCTCAGCTGACTGCTCTGGAAAGTGATGCTCTTAAAAAATGCTTTACTCAAAGTAAAATACACTTGAAGCAATGTACACCTGAAGCCTGTCTATCACTTTTTTTACGCTACTCGTGTTAAAATCTAGCCATGTGTGTCTCAACGGATTTCAATCCCCTTAACTCCTGCTGGGTGTTTTCAAAACACAGAAGAATACTTGAATTGAACACACAATCTTACACATAGAAACATTTATCATGAGACTTGAAGCCCTTATTTTAAGAAACAGCTAGGCACTTGTTATAAAACATAATCCTGAGAACTGAGGCAAGATGGTGTCTTTTCACAGCTCCAGTTCTCCAATGAATTTAATGCTAACAAAGCGTATGACAAAATGCCTTTATCATTTCTCACACTCCTGCGAGGGGTCCTAGTGAACATCTTCTTTCTCAGTGATACTATTGACTGCCGTGGATGTTGTGAAAGTGCGTTGGATTTTACAGTGTTGTTATTCAGACTCGCTGGTAACTGGCTTGAGTGCCCAGAGCCATGTGTGACTACAGCGTCTTTCTCTTCACAATGAAGTGTTCTGTGCTTTCCTTTTGCATAAAATAGCTTATTTACAGCTTAAACTATATGTACAGCTCTCTTTCCAGAAACAAGGACAAAAAGGTTACTCTTACCTGCCCTGAGTTTCTGTACTTAGAAGCAAGGGCTCCTGCAACAGCACGGTCGATGTTGGCGCTGTCAAACACTATAAAAGGAGCATGTCCCCCAAGCTCCATGGAAACTCGCTTCACAGTGCCAGCTGCATGTTTCAGCAATATCTGCAGGCAACAGAGGAGACACAGAAATCTGTTCCTCTACCAGATGTGAACTGTGGAACCACAGATGGAAGGCAGTGAAAAACTCTGTCAGGGAATTAATCTGTATCTTCTCTATAATGCTAGACCATCTGTTTTCTCCTATGACAAAAGCAAGGACTGATTTCCTTCATTAAAATCTTTAGAGATCAAATTGTGGCCAAGAAATAACAAAGAGAAGGATTTTCATCAACTTCAGGTCAGGCTTTTATACACCAATACTGTCATTCTTTTTTGCTTGTTCTTTTCTTCTTTGGTTATAAAAATCTTGACTACTCTTACAAAATTTTTCCAAGATCTGTCAGAATTTAGGATTAAGATTTGCCTTGATAGCAGACTTTTTCTCATTCTGTATATAGCCATCCCATAGAATTCCATCATCTTCTAGCCATACTCTGCAGTTCTACTGACTTCATTAGAGGTGGTGACAAGATTGCTTATTGACTAAGGTTGATAGGAGAGATTCCTGAATAGTACCTTTGAAACTCAATTTCAGTGTTCTCATTAGTATGTTGTCACCCTATGATATGAAACGCATATCTTGTACAGAACTGTTCACATAATTTAATAAAGGGCAGTTATCTAGAACTTGCACACAGGCATCCTTCTGTGAAGGACTGATACAATAGGCAGTACCTCGAGAAGTACACAATTATTTGGACAATTTGCATATAGCAGCCAGAGAAGGCGGTGGCTCTGTATAAAGGCACACACTCTCCCCCTACCTTTCCAGTGTAACCATAGTAATAATCTTCAAGGATATTCTGTGCACTTACGTACCTTTCCTGTTGCTGTAGAGCCAGTAAAAGATATTTTGGCTACCAAGGGATCAGTGCACAGAACCTCCCCTACAGCTGATGTCTGTTGTCTGGAACAAGGAACAACATTATACACTCCCGCTGGAATTCCAGCCTGGTTTGCAAGCTGCAACAGAAGAAATACAGAATTTGCATTATCAGTGCATTTTGTAAGAGGAATAGTCACTTAATGTCTGTGCATTGTTTTGAATAAACCAGCCTTTAAATCGATGGGAGCTGAAAATGCACAGCACAACAGACACCACGGTGTCAAGAGAGCCGCTTCACTCCAGTTTAAGCTGGATGCCATTCAAAGTAACCAAAGGAAAGATATAAAAAGGTTTTGTGTAGCTCAATGGCCAGGTCCTCTTTGATACTTTAGACCACATTAGAGACAACTTTCAAAGATTCTTACTGAACTAAAACCTGTGGATCAATTCAGCCAACTTGTCCTTCCTTCATGTATAAAGTTGGCCAGAGTTATCTCCAAAGCCCACCTGATTCCCCATTCACAGCTTCAGCCCACTGCTAAGGTCAGGCTTAGCATAAAAGCTCACCTCCCCAAGAGCCAACGCTGACAAAGGTGTGTCCTCTGCAGGTTTCACTACCACTGTACAGCCAGCTGCCAGAGCTGCACCAACCTTCCGGGTAATCATAGCACTGGGGAAGTTCCACTAGGATGAGAGAAAAAAAGTACAGTCAAACTTGGGAAAATTTTGCCTCCTGTTTTTGCAGAAATAGCTGACATTTTCTGTAATTATGTGATAATCTAAACAGACCTGCATGATATGCTTTGTCCTAAGTGAACATTACAAAGAAGCACTGCCAATCCAGGGAGAAGCGAGCACAAGGCAGAAATGAAACTTCACAAGGGTGTTTGCCGGGGCTGGAGGAGCCGTAAGGCCACAGGCCCACACTGTGGGCTGAGCTGAAAACCTTCACCTCATTTGAAAAGCTCAGCTATGCTTACGGGAGTTATAATGGCTGCCACTCCTACTGGCTGCTTCAGCACCAGGATTCTTCTGTCTTTTGCAGATGCTGGAATGACATCACCATAAACCCTGCGAGCTTCTTCCGCAAACCACTCCAGAAATGAGGCAGAATACAGGATTTCACCCTGTGCTTCTTTCAGAGGCTTCCCCTTTGATTAAATCAGATTGAAGACACACTGTAAGCGGCAGAGTGAAGCAATAATACCAAATCAAGTCATTTCAGAGTCCCTGTTCTTTCCAGAGTACTTTATAATCCCCTATCACACAGACTGTGGTCTCCAAAAAGAATTATATGATTGCAGCAGCAATAGTTATGCCGTTTCAATATACAGTCATTGTATAGTCAACATTTTGTATGTTGTGCCTGGACTCATACCTGCCCAAGATAAGGAGCTGGAGTAGCAAATGTAGGATGTGTTTATTAACAAACTGTGCAGTTAGCTGCTATTACTATTCTGAAGATGCAAATCATGGCAAAACAGTTACAAATTTATGACAGGGACATTTGGGGAGGGGGAGGGGGAGGAATATGACTTTTTAATACCTCCAGATCTGGTCCCATGGACTGAATGACCATTAGCTGCTGGGACACCCCAGAGGAGCTGCTGAGGTATCTCCCAGCAGGGTTTTGTCCAAAAGGACACCGGTCTGTGTGCTGCTCTGACCCAAACCAAAACACACCAAGTGAATCCAGCTTGCAGACTTGCTTTAACACTACTGCGATCTTTTCCGAGTCAATTAAACTGATCAAACACAAACATTTCTGCCATTAAGACTAGGGTTAAGCTGATGTATGCTTTTGCACACCATAAAGCAAAACGAGGGTCTGGTTTCTGCTGGATTCTGAGGTACTCCTGTCATCCCGCTGTCACACTCCTGACAAGGCTGAAGGCCGCACAGCCCCCAACCTCCGGGACCCCCGCCGCCGTACTCACGTTCTCGGCCGTTATGATCCTCGCCAGCTCCTCCTTGTTCTCCATCATCAGCTCGTACCATCTGCGGAGCCGCACACTCCTCTCCTGAGGAGAGAAAAGG